CCCCAAAACCCCAAAACCCCAAAACCCCTTTAAGATGGATTAACACTGATAATTAGAAATGTTCTTTTTAAAATATAACTATTAATAATGAAAAGTATTCAGATTTTGATTGCCTGTTTAACTTTCTATGGCCTGCTCGGAATCTCTAATTAGCTGAGCATCATGAATTTTATTGATGGAATCGAAATGAATTTGAATAGCTACCTAGAGGTGCAGAACCTTAATCAAGCCTCATATTTGAATTAAGAATCTACAATGCTCAAATAAACTCTTTCAGTTGATATAGTAATACCTAATTATCCATAATTTACCAAATTCATTTTGTTTCTACATTTTATTAAACCCCATTAATAGACGAGTCTTTATAGAAACAACTTTTTCGATGTATTTGTTTTTGAAAGGATAGAAGAAGGCAAGGATAGTCCAGACTTTCTATGCTATAAAGAGGCAGTCGATAATTAAATTTGGGATAAGGACTGTTCGTTTCTGCACTCTATCACTAACAAGACTACCTAAGTCCTGCTGAATTAGCAATCTTATGAGGCGGTCATCAAAACACTTGAGGAGTCGAATGATCTGGACAAACATATTGTAATAGACAATACACCGTACCCACCCAAAGGAATTAACCGTAATTATACTTTATAAATGCTCATGTTTATTTTTAGCCAAGTCAGCATTCACACTTATGATACAGACTAGAACAGATTTCAAAAACCCAGTCAACATCAAATCAATAGTCATCATAGGTAAATATTTAGTTTAAAACTTTAAAGAGGGTATGGTATGCCTAGTTGTGTTATTTGCCTGCGGAATGGCGTTTTATTTATGTTTCAAAGTTAAGTAAAGCAGTAAAAGAATCCAGAAGTATAAGTAGATATTGCATGAGAACCGAATGCAGGATATTTAGAGAATGCAAACAACAGAAAATGAAAACTATGAATAAGTAGATCTGCACACTGACTGAGATTAGTTCATTAAAAATCGGAATATTTAGCCTATAGCTTTGTAAATTTGAATTAGACTATTATATAAGCTAGTTATAGTTTTGTAAATATAGTTAAAGTTTTCTTAAATAAAAATCAAATAAATCAATTCTAGCCTTTTCATTGTCTAGTTGGTGATCTGATTGGGGAGCTCTCTCTAACTTCTTTACCAACAAGGGTCTTTTGCATAGCGATCTTCTCACTAAACTTCTTGAGTGGGTCTTTTCTCTCCATCTTGTCTAGCTCAGCTGGGGTGTACTGATCTAGGAATTCATCAATGGACAAATAGCCACCACCAACACGGACTATAAAATAATTATACAATTTTCAGAATATTCTTACTGTTGATCTTATCTTTGTCGACTCTGACGGCAACTCTCTTGGAACCGAATTGATAGACACCCTCGCTCTCTCTGAGGAACATAATCTTGAGTTTCTGTCTGTCAGGGTAGTTGTTGATGAACTCAGCAAGTTTCTTGTCAATGACATCATCCTTAACTGGGATATACACTGCGATTCTTTGCTTCAATTCAATGATGTAGTTCTTGAGTGTTTCAATTTCAATCTCAGCATCTTTCAATTATCTCAATAACTCGAGAGAAGTCTTGTTAGCTTTGTAAACTTTGTCCTCAAGTGCCAAGATGTAGTCGGAGGCGGTCTCAAGTTCTTGCTGTAGCTTTCTCTTTTACTCTGTAAGCACTTCAATAAGTTTGTTGGCTTGAGCGAGCTAGTCTGCAATATCCTCATTAAGTCTTATGATCTACTCTTGCTCTCTAATCTTAGCTAACTGCTGTAGATTTTCCTCAATTAATGCTAAAATGATAAGGATATCATCAATTCTTACTCTTAATTCTAAGTTCTCTCTCTGAGATAATAGTTTCATATCTCTATTGTTGATCTAATCTTTCCTTCTCTTTTTGGATAAGGGCCTACTTAAGTCTAAGGACTTCTTGCTGAAGGTTATTGTTCTCATTAATGACAGAATCTTAGAATTGCTTGTTCTTTTGAGCGTCTTCTTGGATTTAGATACTGGTGGTCTTAATAAAGGTCTGTAACTCTACTCTCTTGATCTCTGAGTTCTTGGTAATAGTCTAGGAATTTACTACATCTTGTTCCATGTCTCTTATAACCTATTAAAGGGTGTCATTCATTTAGAATTTAAGCTAAGATATGTCTTACCTCGACTTTAGTGTTCAATCCAATCACAGTGGTCTTTAAGTGCTCAATCTCAACCTCCTTTTCTGAGAGTCCTCTAAGGAGATCCTTGTCCATAAGAACAAAGTCTTGTCTTGAGTTATCTATGGATAATTATATATTTGTCTTATTCGTACCATTATTGTTGATAGTTTGAGATCTTCTGGTAGGAGATGCAGTCTTGGATTTGTTAGTTGACATATCTTAAATAAAATAAAGTTTATTAAAGTTCTTTTATTAGAATTTTCATTTATTTCCTATAACTTTTCAACCTTACCACAGGGGGTTTTGGGGTTTTGGGGTTTTGGGGTTTTGGGGTTTTGGGG